ATTCATATGTGCTCTGTACATGGAAAATTTTTGTGCACAAAAAAATATAATGCTATATGCAAAGCACACACAACTTTTTAATAATTATTTAAAATAATATGCATTATACAGTTAGCCTTGTTCTACTGTACCAAACTTTGCACATATTAAATCTAAAATTTGGTGTGCAACATGTACCAAATTTTGACTTTGAATTTTATTTCCTGGTTGTAAGTGTTAATGTTCTGCAGCTTATGACCTTTACTTTCAATATGTGTTGTTATTATTGAACAAATATTGTAATCAATACTGTGATAACAAAATCTACACATAAGCTTGTCATCCTCTTTATAGAAATCATCTTTAAACTCAAGTGCTCTACCACTCAATGTAATTCGTTTTGGACCTATATTAAAAAAAATAATAATATATTTTTTTCTTAAAGAAAAATACATTAATTTTAGATTTAAATACTTTTATTTTTTTTACACTTTAGCATACTACAAAAACACTTTAATTTACTCGCATTTTAATAACTAAAAAAAATTTATTTCGCACTCTAACATACTACTAAAATTAATTTATTTTTCAATTTAACATACTACTAGAAAATTTATTTCACACTTTAACATGCTACTAAAAATTAATTTTTTCACGCCTTAACAAGAACTATGTTATCAGCTTATTCGGTTCTATTATTAATCGGTTTTTATAATTCTCCTAGTTAATAAATTACAGTGTTGGCAATTGGACCAATTGGACATAATAAAATTTTGATTGAATTTTATTGGACATATGTCCAATTCCAATAAAATTTTATTGATCATTGCCCAATACCAACACTGGTATTTACCCAACATATGTATCCGGGTATTTCTCTAGTTCGGTTTAGTACCTTGGGTACACGTGTGGGAGGGATATATATTGTATGGTTACGAATGTTTTATTATGTTTTCCCGGGTACAAAGCATGATATACTTAGATATCCGGGTATAAGTCTGTCAAAATCATTACAGGTACATTGCACGGGGACTACATGTTGGGTAAATACGGTACTTAAAAATTGCGACACTTTAGACAAATTGGAAAAATTTTCCTTTTTGCATGCGCCTGTAACAACTGGTTCTTGAGACATCTTATCGATACAGCTTGTACTATAGAATTCCATTGATTAAATTACACACAGTAGCCTATTTCACTATAAAATGTGATTTTTTTATTTTCTTTCTCATCGGTTTGAGTTATTCTTACCCGTTCTAAGCATTTATCAAAGCAACTTAATTAGCAATTAGAACGATAAGAAAAAATTATTGATAAATATATACGTTAAAGATGCTTTCAAATTTAAGCATCCAGAAAATATATACCAGATTTGTGCGCCATAGTGGCTGAATATATATTGGATTTTCCGAAGATTTAGAACGGAATTCGTTGACAATGCTGTCTTGACATTTTGTGAATAAATTCAGAATACGTTAAATTCAGAATACGTTGCGTTGACAATGTTGTCTTGGCATTTTTGTGAAACAAATAAATAAATTCTTTGCAACATGTGTGCGTGTATAGGTTATTTAATTCGTTGTAATAGATACGACATGTATAGGTGAAATTAATTCATAATAGGTTTAATCGCTAGTAGCTAGTATTAAAAAAGTTTATAAGGTACTATTTTTTTTTTATTTCATCGTAGTTAATGGACAAGCTGTTAATTTTTCCATTTCAATCCAATATTGCAATAGGGATTCCGAAGTAGAGATGAGCAATTGCATGCAATTAATTCTGGTCAGCATTAAGAAATTAAATCATAGTATGCAAAAAATGCATGCGCATGTGCTAAATGAAAATTTTGTATTTTGCCCGAAGTAAAAATAAGGGTTAGAGTTTTAGCTTTCGTTAATACAAAAAAAAAATCACATGTCGAATGAAGGCAAATCGGGCTCCAACGGCATTACCTATGAACCTTATTTGAAACAGATATTTGGCGCAAATAGGAGACCTTCAAGATACAAATCGGGTTCATATATGCGCTCAATACATATTGGAATGCCAATAGCTCTATGATAAATCGATAAAGCTTGCCTTATAGCTTTAGATATTAAACAATCAATGCTAAACTCCCTCATGTATCGATAACACATATAAACCCATCTTCCCTTCTACTATTGTATCTGACACACCCATAAAAATTTATGTAATGATGACACTAATCCAAGATATTGACGGTCAAAATTCAATATTAGGGTTGGCAATTTCATGCACCATTGGTAACCTGTTCCAGTCATTGCATTATTGCACCATTGAAAATTTTATTGCTAAATTAGATTATAAACTTCAAGATAAAAATGCTCCAGTTGTAAGAGTATTACACGTTAACATGTTGCGGTAAAACTTTCATTTTATGAATGATAATTGTTACACTGCGTACTGATATGGCCGGTCAGAATTAACAACCATCCATATATGTAAAGATATAATCGGCTATGATTAAATTTAGAGTTTGTTTTTACGATTAAATCTGTATATAAAATACTAAACTGATTCATAAATCAAGTTGATACACTGTATGAATGTGTTGTCAAAAAAAAAAAAAAAAAAAAAAACCAAAAAAATATAAAAAAAATAAAAAAAAAATAAAATCTTAATTTTGATTTTTCGATCAAATAATTATTAAGTCAATTATCACATATAATTCAAAATGGCTGTTCAAAAAATTATTGAATTCGAAATGGCTATTCAAAAAATTATTGAATTCAAAATTATTGAATTCAAAATAGTTATTCAAAAAATAATGGCTATTCAAAAAATTATTGAATTCAAAATGGCTATTCAAAAAATTATTGAAATCCTTCAAAAAATTAATGAAATCCTTACTACTAGAGATTATATCCTCTTTTTGGCCTTAATCATAGCTACCTATGTTTTTAACTTTTATTATAAATATTTCACTCGCCCCAATCCACTTCCTGGTCCGTTACCTTTACCATTCACCGGAAAATTTTATATTGCGACTTTCATAAGAGATTTCTATGATGAATGTCAATCAAAATATGGAGATGTCTGTGAAATGATGATTGATGGACGTAGAGTTATTGTTTTTTCACGACCTGAATATATTGAAGAAGTTTTATCAAAATTTTTAATGAGGGTCTCATATTCCCATGGTTTAGATGAAATTGGATTATACGGAAATGGGATCAGCGGAAATGATGATTATAAGAGTTGGAAATATAATAGACATTTCTTCACTCAAGCATTATTAGCACCTGGATTTATGGATACAGCTGTAAAATCTATAAATCAATTGTTTGAAGAAATGAGTAGATATTGGAAATGCCTTGGAATGGGCCTTGGAAAAGTCTTTGGGGAGAAATTAGATTCAAACAATAATAATAACGATTGGACTCTAGAAACTAATTTGTGTGAATGGTCTCGTTCATTTGCAAATGAAGTTATTTCAATAATGGCCACTGGTGAACGTACATATTCAATTGCTGCTTATTTTAACACGCAAAGTACTGGTTATCTCAAGTCTGAACATCCTTTTGCATTGGTTAAATATGGGAATACATTTGCTAAAGCAATAATAAAACATGTTCAAAGTTATATATACTTCGTAATGATTGGCTCATTCTTTAGGCATTATGTTCCAATATTTAGAGAAGTAGCAAATTCTTACTTAGCAAACCGTAATTATATATATGAAAAAGTGGATCACATGATCAAAAAAAGAAGAAAAGAGATTGAAGAAATGCCAGTGGGTACAAAAATGGGAACCGATATACTAACATCCTTAATCATTGCAAACACTGAAAAGGATACTACTATTAATGTAAAAACAGAAGACGGTGAGGTGTTGAAACCTATGACTGATGAAGATATCAGAGATAATTTGATAGATGCTTTCGTGACTGGAACTGATACTGTAAGCAATATTTTCCCTTTATTACTGTATTATAATTTACTTATCATTTGTTTATTATTTTGCTTACATATTACTATTTGTTTGTTTATATTTAGACTGCTAATACATTTTGCTATGTAAACTACTTTATTTGCAGAGATCAAAATGTAAAACAAAAAATGATTTCAGAAATTGACTCTGTATTCTCTAATTCTCTTAATAAATCCTATCTGTCAAGTGATGATCTTTCAAAACTAAAATATTGTGAAGCCATAATCAAAGAAACTACTCGTATAATTCCGGTATTAAATTTTGCAACTCGCTGCAGTACTGAAGAGCATGAGGTTGCAGGATGCATATGGCCTGCTGGTACATTGTTTCACTTAAATTATATAGGAGTACATAATAACCCTGAGATTTGGCCTAATCCTGAAGATTTCAATCCGGATAGATTTTATGTTGATCAATGTGATAAAAAACCCGAAAATAAATTTTCTTTAATAATCTTTGGTGGTGGTCCACGAATCTGTCCTGGAAAGAAACTAGCGATGTGTGAGATACTTTTATTGATGGCATCGCTTTATAGATATTATAACGTTGAGTTAGTGAATGAAAAAGAACTAGTACATATAATTGCCACAACGGGTAATGATGTTGAAGAGTTAAAAATTAGAATTAGTCCTCGAATTATTTCTTAAATTTATGTAATCGAATTTTTTACCCCATCATTTTCCTTTATGCATGTATGATTGAGAAAATATATTAAGATACATTAAATTAAAGCATCTTTTATCATGCGTACTATATTTCCTTCAATTTTTTGGTTTATAACTACTAGGTTAAAAAAAATACAAATCAGTATCAATATTACAATCTGTTAAAATTTTTGGATGACGATTTTATCCTTGTAGTGATTCTAGACCGCGCTTATATAACAGTAATCATTATTAATCAATAAATTAAATATATTACAAATGTAAATGGGACGCCGCTTAAATAATCTTGTTGCAAAATTAGTAAGAATCCGGTATAATTAAGTGACTTCATCTTTATGAAGCTTTGTGTTTTAGAAACATCTTTTCTTTGAAAAATCCTTCTATGATATCCCGATACAGGCACGTCAACTATAAAATTATGTACTATATAAGTTAATCAAAATTTGTATTTGTATCTTCAAAAATTGTTGATTAATCTAATCGTTTACTAGCAGATTCGGAATCAACTTAAGTGAGTCAAAATTCTCTAAGCACTTAGACTGATTTAAAATTTCATTCCAACATATGTACGCGTATTAATTTTTTTCAGAATAAAAAAAAAAAATCTTTTAATCAAAGCAACATAATTAAATAAACAAAAACAGATATAATTAAATGAACTAAAACAATATAATTAAAGTATATTCAATACGGATTTTCAGTAATATCAGTAATTATAGGTATAACCTTCTCTGCTTTTAATAAAAAATCACGTGTAAACCTTCCTTCAGCATCGTAACATAACTCTTTCAAGCTTCTAATTCTAAGAGCATAATCTATTATAAAACTTAAAGATTCATTATTTAGTTCAAACATATGAATTGTTAATTTTAATAAAGGAATATTAAAATCATTTAAAAATACGTATAAATGTCCTTGATCAGTTAAATTAAGCCCATTTTCAAAAATATTACGAGGAGTTTTTAAATCAAAATTTAATTCTTCAAGAGTATTAGGAATTGCTTTGGCAAATTGTGAAATCATTCTTGAAGTAAGTTTCCTATCATTTCTTGATTTTTTTATTTCCAAGTATTTAAGTTTTTTTAAACTTAAAAGTGCTTGTAAAAAGTTTTCAAATATTGAGTAATTGATTATTGTTGAAAGGTGAGTAAGGTTTGAACTATATTCTGCAATTGTATTTATTAAGGCTATATCACAGCCATTAAAAAATAACTTTTGCAAATTTGATCCGGCCATTTTAATAATTAAAGAAAAAAATGGATTAAGTGCAGAATAATGAGCTCCAGAGATCTTTAGGCTTTTAATCTGAAATTGTGATTCGGAGGATAAAATTGGTAGAGGACCTGGATCTAATCGTAAATTTAGTTTATAACAATAAGAAAGTTTCAAGGTATCTAAATTAAAGGATGATAAGTAAGATTTGATTAAAAGAGAAATGTCGTAAAAATCAGTGATTTCAAGATGTCTTAAAGAATGAAATTGACTTGAAAGAGAGGAAAAAAATAAAGGTGATTGAGAATTAGGCCAAGAAAAGAAAACGGTAAGTGATTGAAGGTTACGTTGAGAATTGATCAACCGGAATAAATGATTACAAGTTTCGGGTTGATAAAATAAATATGTACCCAGTGAAGTGATATTAATTTTTCGAATATTATGGGAATGTAAAGATAATTTTTCATAAAGTAATGAAATATTTAATGTATTTACAGGGAAATTTATATTTAATTCAGTTAATTTTGAAAATGCATGCCAAATCTCTTTTAATGATGGTTCTAAAGGAATATGCATAAAACAGCTTCTATTAGGTGTATAATGATGACTTAGGTGTAATGTATTTAAACCAGCAGAATGACTTAAGATATATTGACTAATTATTAAATTACAATGAAGAAATGTGTTTTGAAATTCTGTAATATCAATACCAGGTTTAATGGTCGCATTGTACCAAGAATATAACGCATTATCGAAATCAAGACAATTCAAAACCCGCAAATACTTCGGATAATCAAATAGTGCTGGTTTTAAATCTTGAAGATTTATATTATTGTTTATCAAGGTTAACTTTTGAATTTCTGGGAGACATTTTACATAAGTGTGAATAATTTTTATTTCTTTATTATTATGAAATAGGTAATTGTTAAAGACATTACTCCATAGCAGAGGAATAACTGATCTACACCATAATCGACTAACTAAAGCACATGAGAAAAGTGCTTTACGATCATCGAACAAGTGAGAGATTACTTCATTAACATAATCGGGGATATGAAAAAGAGTGATTGAGGATTCCATTAAATAAGATTTATTAAAATTTGTTGAATAAAGATGAAAAAATTCCAAAGTGGTTTAAAAGATGTGAGTCAGATCAACTTGGATTTTATATTAAGTGCATACTGTGTTACTTAAATTAGTTCTGCAGCCACTCCGAGTAACGATAATTGTGACACTACAAAAAATATTTCATAACGACTACAACGTAGTACCTACAATTAGACTTGTTGGACGAAACTTTATAAAATGAGAAAAGATGAAATCTAACCTCCTGAAAGATGAAAATGACAAAACTTCCGCGAAAGAACAAACCTTTGAAGAAAGACGAAGCTCCTGACGAAAGTAAAATCTGACAAAAAATGAACCTCTGTAAAAACAAAGCCTTGATAAAAGACCTAGTGCTGTGCTATAGTCCATTATTCTTTTGTAACTCCTTACTGTAAGTACGTATTGTGCCAGGAATCAGGAACTTAGTGAAAACGAGTGTATATAAAATGCGTATGCTACATTATTTTCTAAACTATTTATTTGTAACTTTAACAACTTATTAAAACAGATAGATTAATAAGAAATCTTTATTCTCACTCATTATATTTGCACGAATTAAACATACCAAAACGAGAGATATTAGTAAAGATAAAGGTTACAAGCTTGAATACTTATTATTATAAAAACACAGATCAATAATTTTATTCACTAAATTTCGCGAATATAAAAAACTTAAAAGTGATAATGTGTAAAGATAAATATTATAATCTTGAAACTTACTTCAAATACATCGATTAATAACCTTTATATTAGCAATTAGATACGAATGAAGTAAAAGGTATTTATAGCAGTAACTATATCACGCTCAGCAGGGTTATAGGCAGAATGATGCGTTCTAATTGTCAGATAATCAAGGACGAAAACTGAAACATCTTACAATGCTGAGTTATATTTTTATATAACGTGGATTCTCATCTGGACCTCCATCAACAAGGAGGACCCAGACTGATCAGATTTAATTGTCTGTTTTAAGGATATTATCGAAACAGCAACCTTAAATTAGTGACTTTAGGTCGCTTCTGAGTTTGTAGAGCTTGAATTTCATATTATCGTGAGTGCACGAATATGGAAAGTCCCATTACAAAGCGTGTTGTTGGTATCGTATTGGGTCTATTAATAGATGAACCGATGAGATAAGCCTTGCTGCGTCCTACTGAACAGTCTTTGAATGATTTGAAAATTTTCTGTACTACGGTTTCAAAGGGGACTTGGCCTTATCATCCTGTGAAATTATCACAGAATCCATGAGAAATAGGGCAGCAAATTACTTGCTATATTTATGAAACAAAGTATTAGTGATTACTTGGATATTTTACCTTTTCATTTCATAAAACTGACGCAACCTAGAAATTTAATTTTATTCTAATTAACTTATTTTAATTTCTTATTATATTAAATTATACATTATAAATTTCTAGTAATAATTATTGACAGTAATTTATAATATTTTTTTTAAGGGGTTGGATTCTATATTCGGGACATTTGCCGGGTGGTGATGTGTTTTTGCTACTATAGAATTTGAACAACATGGCAAGAGATTAAAATGGTGCAAAAAAACATTCACTGTATCTTAATTCAAATTCCTCACATATGTGATTTACCATTTAGACTTTAGTAGTCTCCCTTCTTTTTCATCAGTAGATCCAAATTCGTTATGCTCGTGATATTAGTATTAGTATAAGAAAGGAGGATGACCAGGTAAATCATATTTTATGACTTGCCGCCGTTTTTTTACAAGTTTGGCTTTTTTTTCCTACATTTTTATGTTGGTAAGCGGTATGTCGTTTTAGATTCTTTTGTCTTCAATATGAGGTACTTGTTTAATCATGCTGTGTTTTTAAATTATTGTAGTTACATGCCCGTTAACGTCCTAAATTTCTTTATTTGCCGCAATGAGAATTTTCTGTAATTGCCTCATATATATATATATCCCTATAAGAAATCGCAGCACGGGCAATGCACGGAAATTTGAAGCGCTAAACTGTACATAAATATACACGGGACAAGGAAAGGACGTTCACAACACGTAAAAAGGCGCAACATTGCTCGTACTGATATGCATTTTTACGTGTTTTCCTGTGCATTACGTGCAGGAAACGTGTGATAATGTATATATTTACGTACTTTCACGTGCATCGTTTTGTATAGTTTCGCGTGTAAACCAGTATAATAACGTGTGTTTTTTATAAGGGACGTGTCAGATATTAGGTGAGATCAGAGCTCGTCTCCTCCTCACTCCTAAGAAATTTGGTTATTTTGATTAGTTATATATATATATATTTAGACTTGAGATATTGTTTACCTCCCTTCTACCCTACAATATCAGCTGATATCTGACACTTCCCTAACATTACATACAAATATTCTATGATTTCTCACAAATTTAATATTGTTTTATTAATGGATATGAGGTCAGTGTACTACCGGTAGTACATTGTACTACCAAGTGACACTTTTTAAAACTATTTATCTGTTAATTTTAAAAAATAACTATCTATTTAAATACTGTTTTAAGATATCTTAAATCTATACAATTATATACAAAATACTAAAATAAAGTTAAATATTTTTTAAAATTTTATATAATTTTTTTTTTAAGTTGAAAATTTTAGTTTAATCTAGTTTTATATAGTATTTACTAGCTATCTTATAAAATATTTTTGGTTATAAAAATTTTTTTTATTAAGCAAATTTATTAAATTTTTAATAAAAGTTATAAAAATAAGTTTGATAATTTAAATTTTAATGTTGAATATATATATATATAATAATCTAATTTTGAATTTTTTACTAAAAAACACTATATAAATCTATTTTTAGATTATATATAAAAAAATATATAATTTTTTTAAATATAATTTAAAATAAATTAATTTGCTATTAAAGAAAATTTTATAATTAAAATTAAAAGATAAATTTTTATAATTTTAATCAAAATTTAAAGAAATTTAATTAATAATAAATTTTTTAAATAATAGCTAAACTTGTATAGCTCATTCAAAAAAGAATCAACTTTCTCCGATGATCACCTGTACCAAAATTTTGAAGAGAAGAAAACTAACTTTACAGCACAAAGGCATTAATTAGTATAACTTTGGGTCATATTAAAAAAGTTAGAGTACAGAAAGATACATTAGTGTACCAAGTTTGGAAGAAAACGAACAACAAGAAAGCATTTTAGCTTTAGGTTTCTGCATTTTGGCAGATAGTTTTAAAAATTTGGGGAATTGCTCTAGACCCTGTAATGTAGATCACTACATGTGACAGTAAACAAGTACATGTAAACGGGTAAACGAATAATACAAACAAGTATATCACCATTTGCAGATAAATGCAGGGGATACAAGACAATATAAGAAAACAACTTAATCACGTAAACTATGCCGGCATGCACGTGACAAACAAAAATCAATCACCTTTCTCTGAGATAGAAAGGGAGCAAAAAATAGAAATATACAAAAATCTTTTTGCAAAGTCTCCTAAGAAATTTAATGTAGTTAAGAATAAACATAAGAACAAAATCCTAAGAAAAGACAAAGAGATAGCTAAAATGGTGAGAACAGAACCACAGCTAAAATGCCTCTTTAGAAATATGATTGAGCTATATGACCAGTTAGAGTTTCTTAGAGTTAGAAATGCTAACAAAAACCAAACAGTAAAGCCTGAAGAAGTACTCAGGATAAAAGAAGTTTTAAATGATCAAAAATGCGGCTATGTAGACTATGGAGTCTTAGAGAAATTAAATATAAATAAATACAAGCCATCGTATGAACAAATAGAGCTAAGCTTAACTCCTCAAAAAGCATTAGCAAAAGAAAAGCCAGCAGTAAAAGAAGAGCCTCTGAACGAAAACAAAGAACTCCTTATACCCAAGAATAGAAAAACAAGTACTATTCAAGAAGATGGGCACTTGGTATTCGAAAAAGAAGAGGAAGAAGAGGCAGATTATATACAAAAGATAGCAGAAGTAAGGAAAAAGATGTTTCCACAAAAATGTTTTACATTATGGAATATTCTGCTTGACGTAAAAGCAATAAGAATATAAAGGTGCCTACAGTTTTATGGCTGGGTTCAATTTAAACAATAAGAACTTCTTGGAAAAAGGAAAGTGGTATCCTTCAGTCTAACTTTTCGAAATGAAAGAAAAAAAGCTCTATTAGAAAAAGTATGAGCAGTTCACTTTGAGGAAGAAAAAATGTTAAGAATATCGAAGGGTGATTTCGCAAGAGATATTATTGAAGATAGAGCAGAACATAAGGCTATAGTCAAGAACATCCCAAAGACAGTGCTAGAAACAATGCTATTGAGACAGCTGAAAGTAGTTAAAGCACAGGCAGTATATATATCCTACAATAGCAACAAAAATCAAAAAAGTACAGTATCAGTATTCTTTGAATCAGAGGAGGATCTGTGTACAGCCCTAGGTAAAAGAGTGTATTATTACAATACAAAATTAGAATGGGTAAAGAGCAAGGAGTTTAAAGAATGGATAGTAATATACGCAAAAACGATCTAGCAAATATAGAAGAGAAACCATCACAAAGGGTTGTTAGAGTAGAAGAATCTTTAAATACTCTGAAGAAAAAGAAAGTGGGCAATTCTTGTGAAAATAAAGAGAATGAAGATCCAGCAAAGCAGTAGCTTAAACAAAAGAATAATTTTAAGAGTAAGCAACCAAAGATAATCGGTCAAGAGGAAGAAGAAAAGCCCATAGAAATTAAAGACATGCTGACAAAAATACTAGACAGATTAGAAAAGATCGAGGCTCAACAAGAAACGAAAAACAAATTTAGAAGAAGCCCGTTCTCTAGACGCTTCTAAAAGTTGCTACAGGCGTAATAAGAGAAAAAGGTGGCAAAGCCACCAAGTATGGAGGAGGGTTTGAGAGAGAGAATAGTAAGGTGGTAACTTTAGGGGTTTATAATATAAATGGGGTTAAAATGAACAAATGTAAGATAGATAGTATAGTAGAT